GCCGAACCAATTTTTTTTTGCAATCCTAAAAGATATGATGTATGTTCACTTTCTTCCCTGTATTAAATTATTATCAGCATGGGTGTATAATTGTGTTATAAAAAAAAATAGACAGAGTGAATATTAATTGTTCAAGTCTAATTTTGTTTGCTGATGTGGAAAATCATAGTATGGAGACTGCTGATGGAGTTTCAGCAAGCATACAGTTATATTTTAAAATGATAGAAAGTTATAAATTGGAATTTGATTCTGGAAATATAACTGTTGTTGAATTGAGAAGAAGAGTGTGTAAGGAAAATAGGAAATTGAGAATTATTGTATTGAAACAACTAAGAGCCGCAAAAGCTGGTAGAACTGAAACTAGTGATAGTACGAATGACAAAATGTCTGGATCGAAGAGAAAAAGAGATATATAATAAATCATTATATAAATCAATTATTGTTTTCCTATCCCTTTTGTAATAGTATGACAATAATAGTATTGTTATTTTTAATTTCAGGAAACGCATCGAATAATGAAACAGAATTTGTGTTGGAAACAAGTGTAGACGTATAGAATAATGAAACCAAATCGGTGTCGGAAACAAAGGTAGATGTATCAAATAATGAAACAAAATCTAAGTTGGAAACAAATGTAGGTTCGCAAATTTGCTTAGGCCCTTATGAAAATAATGATCGCATATACAAAGAAAACAGAAGACACATAATATCTATATTAAAAAGAAAGAGAGGTAAGGAAAATTATGTTGTTATATAATTATGTTCTTCTCATTTTCTTGAGAAATCTGATTGACTATATATAAAATTTTGCAGGTGCTGATTATTATGTAAGAAAAAAATCTAAATTAAAGCTTACTCTTTCATAAATATGTAACAGTAAGTTATAAACTTTAGACATATATTTACATAACAAATTATTACAGTTTGTTCATTTGTGTAACAATATCGTTATCTTTGATATTTGTTTAAAATTAGTGTTATTTCTATTGTCAGTGGATTTGGAACCATTGAACTTTGGTGTACCATCTTACAATTGCAAGCATTGTGGGGCAATCCTGTGGTATGAAGAGTGTACAATTAAGAGCAGAAATATATCTTCTCCTATATTTTCGTTATGCTATATGGATGGGAAAATTGAATTACCACTATTGAAAGAACCACCTGAACTGTTGAAAGAATTATTGGATGTAAACAGTGGTTCTAAAGGAAAAATATGCAGAAACAAGATAAAAATATACAACTCAATATTCTCATTTACATTAATGGGAGGGGAGATTGATATTGATATTAACAAAAATAGTGGTCCATATGTTTTCAGACTTTATGGGCAAAATTATCACCGTATAGGGACATTGCTTCCACCTGTTGGAAAGAAACCTACTTTTGCACAGCTTTACATCTATGATACACAATGTGAAATCAGTCACAGATTGAATTGTATGGGAAGGCAAGCAACTTACAATAGTGTTGACAAGGAATTGATCGAAGAATTGATGCTTGATAGGAACAATGAGTTGGTTAAAAGTTTTCGGTTTGCTAAGGACTATATTGAATCAAATAATATTCCTGAACTCCACTTGCAGTTAAAAATCCATAGAGAAAAAGATGGAAGATAGTATAATTTGTCAGCTGCATCTAAAATTGCAGGAATAATTGTTGGTGATGTTGGACTGTTAGATGTTGGAAAGGATGTTATTGTTTATCATTGAAAGAATGGTTTACAAAGAATTATTGACTTACATTCTAGTTTTATGGCATTAAGTTATCCAATTTTGTTTCCATATGGAGAGGATGGATATAGGGTTCGCATTAAGCATAGAGAATCAGGCGATAGAGAAACTTTTATAAGGCATAAACTGACTATGAGACAATTTTATGCCTTTTGATTGCAGTATAGATTGAATGAAGGACACATTTTGATGAAATCTGGCAGACGATTGCAACAATACATTGTAGGTGCATATATGGCTATTAAAGAGGAAAGGTTTCGTTGGATAAGAAAAAATAATAAAAAATTAAGAAGTGATTTGTATAGGGATTGATGGATGCTATTTCAAAAGGGGATATTAATACAGAGAATATAGGCAAGTGTACATTGCTGCCGTCCTCTCACACTGGCAGCCCACGATATCGTATTCAGAATTATCAAGATGCTATGGCAACTTGTAGATATCATGGATATCCTGATATTTTTTTGACATTCACATGTAATCCAAAGTGGCCGGAGATACAATATATACCGAATGCTATTGGTCAATGTGATGAAAAAGGAAGAGTAACTACTGTTTGTAGAGTGTTCGAGATGAAATTGCTTAAAATGATGAAAGAGATAAAGAAGGATAAATATTTTCGTGAAACTCTGGCAAGTAAGTACTGTTATAAATAATATCTATATTTTCTTTTAAACCATTTATTCATTTATGATTTATAATATGAAATTTACAATATATCAACAATTACTGACAATATTCTATTATATTTCCCAGTTATTTATACTATTGAATTCCAGAAAAGAGGTCTTCCACATGCACATGTATTGATTTTCCTCTACAGTGAATATAAGAATCCTTTGCCATCGAAGATTGATAGGATGATATCTGCTGCATTACTAGATAAAGAAAAGGATCCTCTTGCTTATGCAACTGTTGGGACCTACAATATCCATGGTCCATGTGGAAATTTAAATACAAGTTCACCTTGCATGGAGAAAGGGAAATGCAAAAAACATTTTCCAAAGAAATTTGTGAATGCAACAACTGTAGATGATGAAAGCGAGATACTGGAGCATTTATTGAGAAAAAAAGTGTCAAAATTGACAACCGTTTTGTTGTTCCCTATTATAGAAATCTGACGGTTAAGTACGATGGTCTATAATATAAACAAACACATATATGTTATGCAAAGAACATATATTCAAAACACCTTCCAAACAACACTAATTAAAAAACATGAATCCCGAATAAAAACAATTCAATAAATCAGACAAATATAAAAGCCATAACAAACATACCACTTCAATTTTACCAGGCAAGTTTTCCAGCTTTAAAGCAAGTTTATGGTTCTCCTGAGTTAAAATTTCAATCTGTTTAACAAAACAACACCAAATAAATAAATAAAACAATTAAATCAATACAATAATGAAAATCCATATAAAAAGCAATACTTTTACAACTATGCTAATAATAGCTCTTTTTGCAAACTAAAATATAAACTTCTGTATTTGAATTGATAGGTACAAGAATTATCAATTATCATGAGAAGTAAGCTTGCTTTGTTTACTTTCTATTAGTTTAATCAAGTAATCAGATTTTTGTTCCAGAGTTTTCTTTTTCCTATTGGACTGAGAACTCTCCGTAATCACATATCCTGGTCATTGATCTTCTTCTTCACTTTCACTATAAACAACATAATCAATTAAACGTTGAATATCTTCATTTTGCTTTTCAAGATCTGTTTTTTGAAAACGAACAGAGCGTCTAGCATTAACATTAACAGGGCACTTTCCTTTCTTGGACGCTTGATTGAGGTTGACATGCTATCAACAATACCCGAACAAAAACAAAAGCCAAATATAAAATTAATCTTGCAAAACTATAAAAGCCCAAACATGTACTTAATCATCACTCTCATTATCCGATACATATCAAACACACCTTTACAATATAATATGAACAACAGTATAATAACTAAAAAGAGAAAAAAAAACCAAATAAAGCTTCACTTTCTTCAACCCTTTATTTCAGATCTCCATGCTACAATCAAATTTCAAAAATCAATCTTGCAAAACTATAAAAGCCCAAACAAATACTTAATCTTCATTGTCATTATCCAACGTATATCAAACAATGCTACACAATATAATATAAACCATAGATAAACAAATGAAACAATAAAAAAAGAACAAAAACAAAGAGTTCCAAACAAAAAAATAAAAAGGGAAAAAATAAATATCACTTACATTCTTACAAAATATTGTTTAAATACTATAGAAGCTTTAAACAAACAAAAAGCGGTAGTTGAAATAAAAAAAAAAAATAGATATAAGACGACGAGATAGAGACGATGACAATGTACTGAAAAATACCCTAATTAAATAGTAAACAAATTTGAAATAAAACCCGGCCAAACAATTCATACAACAGTAACAAATTTGCCAGGCCCAATAACTGATGGAGCATTAACTATCTGATCCAAAAAAAAAAAAAAAATAACAAGCTAAAGTTAGTCCAAAAGTGTCCAATTCAAAAAACACTATAATTAATAATAGCATTTTTAATTAATTATATTTGACAATATATATCCACTATAATTAATTTTAGCAAATTGGATTAAATAATAAGTATATATAAATGTATAACAATGAAAAAAATTACTATTATTAATTCTTTTATCCAGTATATCAAAAAATACATCCAATAAAATATTGCTTTTCATATAAAATTAATATGCAATTAAAATAAAATATTATTTATTAATAGAATATTAAAATCTTTTATCCAATGTATCAAAAAAATGCCTATAATAAAATATTGCTTTTTCACATAAAATTAATATAAAATATTAATCATTAATGCAACATTAAATAACGTCAAAATTAAATTCATAACTAAATAAACAAGATCAAAAGATAAACAATATGTCCAAATCCAATTACGAAATCAACCCGCACAATGCCATTGTGCGGGCCTTAAAGTAGTTGTCATTATTTCTATTGCTTGTTGACGACTCCAGTTCACAATCAATTCTTGTTATCATTTATTTTATTCATTTGACAAAGTCTTCTTTATTTATAAATATGTAATAAATTATAATTAATTTAAAAATTATGTAGGAAACTGCAAAGAGATAATGAGCTAAAAGTCAAATGTTGACATCAAAGAATTTGAAGGATTATACTCTCTCTCATCAAGTAATTTAAAAGGTCAAGGAAGCTGCTAAGGAACATGGATTAAGGACTTTAGTTTAATTTGTCTATTGAAGAAATGCAACGGTGTATTGAAGAAATTCACATGAAATTATGAAGTCAACTGTCAACCCACTAAACTTTCGCCATGCTTCATGCATCTTTCCTCAAAATTGCAAGGTAACTAAGATGTAAATTTCCCTTTAATTCATCTGGAAATTAAATACAGTCTGTGTAATGTATGTATATATATAAGATTAAGAATACATATGTTCATAACAAGAGTTCTTCATATTTACTTTTCGATATCTTCAAGAAATACTTGGGATGAAAGCCTACGCTATTGCTCTCATAGTTATAGCTTCTTGCTTTTCTGCAATTGCAGTCCTTTTAATTCTACGTTGTCTGTGCAACAGAGGCCGCAAAAAGAAGGAAACTCATCAATATCCCACGGCTAGGGCGCCTAGTGTGACAATTCCTCCGCCTCAGCGAACTCATGTTGATGTAGAAAAAGGACAGGCAAAAACCAAAAGCAGTGGCACAAAAGATGGTGGAATGATTATTTTGGGAGGAGCTGTTGGTTTAGCTACTGGAGCTGCTATTGCAAGTATTAGTAGTGGTTGTGGCGGTGGCGGTGGGGGTTGTGGTGGTGGTGGGTGCGGTGGTGGAGGTTGTGGTGGTTGATGTTAGCGGTCGAGGAACTTGATCGTCAATTATTTTCACAATTAGTATGACATTATATATATTGTTCTGAAATAACGGTTCAAAATGTACAATCCTGACGTGCCTCTCTTAGCAATGCAATAAATTTTTATGTTTAAAAATTTAAGTCACATTTTTTAATTGACGTACCCTAACCTCTCTCCATATACATAAACTTTTGATGTGGTAGATCATATGTTCGATAGAATGCGCAAATGAAAAAATTTTGTGTTTAGGTACCCATCAGTTGTTCTTCGATATTAAATGTTGAAATTCTTTTAAGCAACTTACTTGATCATGCGACCACCCATGCCGTGGTTGCCAAAAAAAATAGAATTCTTGTAAGTCTCTTCAATCTTCATGGCCACTTAGCCACGCAAACTTGAATATTTGGATTGATTTTGGTTGTTTTTCAGCTCTTGTTTGCGTCTTTGTTGTTAATTCCCCTCTAGATTTGTGTGAATTTGGCTTGTTTCCAAGCCTCATTTTGATGCTCTAAACTGAGTTTTCCTTTTGTTTGTCACCATAAGTTTTCAAGCTTACTACTTGTCTTGTTTTATTTTGCTTTGTCGACTCTTGAATTACTTTGTTTTTTGTGATGTGTATTGAATCTAAAAATGATTTTCAATTGCTTTGTAGGATTTGACGCAGCAAATTCAGTTCAGAAACCGGATACTCAGCAACCGAACCGAAATCCATTTGTAATGACAGCAAACATTAAGCAGTTAAAATGTATATTCTTTTCAGGTGCAATACAATATGAATATTAACTTTATTTGAAGTCTTTTACCACTGTTTCGCTTCAGAATAGTTACAATCCATGTTGAATAAGACATTGTAGATGGATGGATGAATGTTGTTGTGATAAGAGTGTTTGAATGAGGTTGCCTAATTTGCAAATGGTTTGTTTTGCCTACTCAATGCAATTTTTCATAACCTTACTGGTGCATGTAGGAATGGGCACGGGCCAAGTCAGGGAATCCCTGAATTAGGCCCGATCTCCAAACGGAGAGTTCGAGGAATCTCCGAAATCCCTATTTTGGGGTTTTGCATTCTTGAGCTATCTTATCATTTTCTCTAAATTATAATTTATATCATCCAAAAAGAAATTAAATTTATAATGTACATATTAAACATAATATATATGCATTATATATATATATATATATATATATATATATATGTAACATTTTTATTCTGTATTACAAATATTTATAATGATTATTATATTTAATCTATTATTATTTATTACCCATTTGTATATGGTTTCATAAAATACTCACACAATTATAATTTGTTCTTATATAATTTATGACTTTTTCAACTATTATAATTAATATAAGATTAAACGGTTAAAACTAAACCTTACTACAAATAATAATAATAATAATAATAATATATAGGCCGGGTCAAGGAAGTCAGGGTGAAGACAATTTGGGGCTAGGGTGGGACCAATTTCGTCCTCGAATTTGGGGACTGATTTTCAGCTCGTCCCTAACCCGAACCCCAAACAACTTGAGGAAACTCTACCCCGTTCAGGTCAGGCCGGGTCCCCGACATGGTGAGTATTATGCTATCCCTTGTGCTATTGTGCATGTGAGTATTATGCTATCCCTTGTGCTATTGTGCATGATGCTTAAATACTTCCTTGGCCAACGGCTACTTCAATTGAACCAGCAGTCAAATGCTTTGAGTTTTTTGTAATTTCACAATTTTTTAAGTTGCAAAATTATGTTCAAACAGTTAGTCTTAAGGGTATTTTTGTAATTCTCGTTCACATTTTAAGGGCACAAATGTCCACCGAATTTTGATTTCCCTCTTTTTTTTGATAAGTGATTTTGATTTCCCTCCATATTACCTGTCACGATATTTTAATTTCTCTTCTAATGTCACATCAACATTCAGCCTTTGCAATGATGGAATTATGTTTTTTGTCAATCAGCGGTATCTTCTTGATCTCTTACTTGGTCAACTCCGGTCTGCTATCTAAATAAACAAAAACAACTCACGACAGAGGGTTCCAAGTGGCTAGTTCCCGAGTTCGTGGGGCCACGTGTCAGTATTCCTGTTTCAGGGGGTGTCCGAGGAAAAAGTCTGAAATTATATTTAAAAACAAAAACATCTACTGATGGTATCATTCCAGGATTTGGGGTACAATCACTTTAAAAAAAAAAAAAAAGGTCACCGCCCTATTTGTTAAAATATTTTAAATCATTTTTCTATTGTCTTATTTAGATTAAAAAACAAAATATGTGTTTGTTTATTTAGTAGATAATTTTTTTAAAAAAATAGAAATTTTTTGTCTCAAAATAAAAAGTGGGTGAGACTTGTTTTCTATTATCCTATTTGATTCAACTTAAAACATTTTTCCAACTCCATTCAACTAAAAATAATTACCTTTCACTCATTCTAATCTGAAAATTAATACACTTAAGACCACCACTGTCTGCCAGCAATCACTGTTGGTCGCCATGGCTGGAATGATGCACGTTTGGCAATGTTGGCTGACGGCCAGTTGTCCTCTTGGGTGGCTAGGGTGCATTAGTTAATTTTTAAACTTTTACTGTAGAGGGTGTTTAGCTAAATTAACAAATATAGGAGGTTAAAAATATAATCTAAAATATTTTAAAAAAATTTACCAAACAACTATTCAACATTTTATCAGACTGTTAATATACTTTTTAGATATTTTACCAAATAAATTTTCAGAATCTGATCCAATTCGATTTAACCAAACTCAACTTAACTTAAAATAGTTTTTCAGAATAACATTTTTCAAGTAATGTACCAAACAGACATGGTCTGTTTGGTACATTATTTGAAATATGATATTTTGAAAAACTATTCTGAATAAGATAGGATATGATTAAATCAAATATGATAGGAGTTTGAGAATGTGTTTGGTATAATATTTGAAAATTATATTAGAGTTGGATAAAAATATAGAATAGTTGTTTGGTACATTTTTGGAAAACATTTTATGAAAATATTTAGATTATTTTTTAACCCCTACATTTGTTAATTAGCTAAACTCCCCCCACAATAAAAATTTATAAATTAACGAAAACACCACCACCCACCCAACTGACTGTGGACAGCTGACCACCATCGTCGGACAGTGGCCAAAAACGGCCAGATCGGCACACAACTAGCCAGATCTGACTGATTATGCATGACACCAATCGGCAGCGGTTTCTGGTGGCCGATAGTGACTTGGGTAGGTAGGGGTGTTTTTGTTAATTTATACTCTTTTATTGTGAAAGGTAATTGTAAAATTGTTTTAAGTTGAATAAAATAGGATAATAGAAAATAAGTCCCACCCACTTTTCCAACTCCAGGCAAAAAATCATATTTGAATCTTATTTGAGTTGCATTAATTTTCTGAATGAAATGGCCCAATAACTAAGGGCTTGTTTGTTTCACTCAATAAAATGGCCGACGCCAGAACGACGCACGACCAACTGGATTTGGTTGATTGTGTGTCAATCTGGCCAGATCTACCATGGATTTGGCCGGAAACAACTAGATCTACGGCAAGAGATCTGGCCGTTTTGACCAGATCCGCGATGGATCTGGATGGAAAAGGCTAGATTGGCACACAACCGACCAGATCCAACCGGTCGTGCACCATTCCAACAACTTTCGACCACATTCCGATGGTGGTGGCCGGCTTGCGGTAGTTAGTTGGGTGGGTGGGGGTGTTTTTATTAATTTATAAACTTTTATTTTGGGAGGGGTTTAGCTGAATTAATAAATGTATGAAGTTAAAAAATAATCTAGATATTTTCCAAAAATATACCAAACAACTATTCGATATTTTTATTCAACTCGGATATAATTTTCAGATATTATATTAAGCACATTCTCAGAATCCTATCCTATTTGATTTAATCCTATCTTATATTGTTTAGAATAGTTTTTCATAATTTAATATTTCACATAATGTAAGACCCAATATATATATATATATATATATATCTATATATATATATTATATAATTATAATATATATATATATTATATATATATATATATTGAAGCTGAATACCCATATAGGTTGATCGACACATGGGTGGCACATTTTGGAAGCTCTAGATTTGCTCAATTGTGACATATTGGATTGACAAACCAATCAAATTACTCTATCTTGACACGTTGGGTTGGTATTTATTGCTCCATCTATAATAATAATAATAATAATAATACAGGTGCATTGCATCAACATTCTAAAGTTCCAACCACAATGACACCTTGGATTTGTGATTGCCATGTGGTTGAATTTTATTAGTGATGATGTAGACAATATTAATTGCTACATTAGTATTCCAAAGTCTATATAAATAGACATAAAGATTGGATTACATAGATGCATTGCATTGGTTGTATTAATAATTAATAATAATACTAATTATATAGGTGCATTGCATTGTCATTCTAAAAGTCTAACCATAATGACACCTTGGATTTGTGAATTCAATGCGGTTGAATTTTATTGGTCATAATGTAGACAATATTAATTACTGCATTGGTATTCCAGAGTCTAAATAAATAGACATAAAGATTGGATTATATAGGTGCATTGCATTGGCATTCTAAAGGTCTAACCATAATAACACCTTAGATTTGTGATTGCCATGTGGTTGAATTTTATTGGTGATGATGTAAAAAATATTAATTGCTGTATTGGTATTCCAAAGTCTAAATAAATAGACATAAAGATTGGATTACATAGGTGTATTGCATTGGTAGTAAAAGCATACATGTTTATTAATAATTATGTAAGTGCATTGTATTGATATTGCAAACCTTTCTTCGTATTCAATTGTGTTGACATTCGAAAGGTCTAAAAAAGGGGTTATAAAAGGGGCGTATGTTCAGTTGTGTATTATTGCAATATTTTAGTTGATGTCAACAATACGTCTGATATTTTGTTAATTGTTTATAGGTCATATTAGTTTGTGTCAATAATAAGTCTGTTGTTCATGATTTTGTTAATCGATGATTTTTTATTTATTTATTTTTTGTTGTTATTAATAAGTCAAAGATTCATGAATTGGCATGAATAGAGGAAGGATGTCCGATTGACATTGTGAAATGAGTAGTTATTTTGATTTGTTATTTTGAACTGTAAGTATATCTTCTAACTATTTTAATACGAAATTGTAAGTATGTCTCTTAACTATTTTAACGGTTATTATTTGGTTGAATGATTGTTTTTGTTCGGTCAATCTATTTGAATGACTAATTGTGTTAGTCCTGCCGAACGGTAAGTGTATTCCTTAACAATTTTAATATGAAGATTAATTAACTTTTGTTGATTTCGTTTTCAGGTAACAGTTGTTATACAAAAGAATAATTGTTCCTTAACAATCTTGACATAAAGATCGATTAAATTTTGTTATGTTTGTTTCCAAGGAAATGTTCATGTCTTTATTAAGATCAAATCGAGGATGATCTTATTGTCAGTCGAACTGTGAGTATGTGTCATATCTATATTAGTAGAAACAGTTCATTTGTGTTGAATATATTTTCTATAAAAAC